GGACTGTTTTGGATTGCTATCTGGGGGGGGGCTCTGCAACTTACCTGGCTGCTTCTTGCTCTGACTGAGGGCTGCTGGGAGCAGGGGGCGGGGCTTGTTGCATGTGCCCGCCCCCTGGGCTCTTCACTACCGGAACTCTGCTCCCGTGCGCTCCTGCCGGAAATGACCCCTGCGAGGACAGCCAGACACTCTTTGGGCCAGGGACCACCAGTACGTTTTTTGCCACTTGAGCGTAACGCTCTTTGGGGGATGTACCAGGAGAGGCGGGTCCCGAAGGTATGCGGCTCCCAGACTGTTTAGGGCTTTGAGGTCAGCACCAAAACCTTGAATCTGATCCTGGAGATTTGGGAGGCGGAGCCTGTGGAAGGGAGGGGCCTCAGTGGAGTATAAAGCCTACAGAGGGGCCATTTTCTCCAGGGGGGCTGATCTCTGTAGTCTGGATATCAGTTATGCTTCTGGGAGATCTCCAGCCCCCACCTGGAGACTGGGAACCCCAGCTATAGCCCTGAATGTGTGAACTGCTCCCCCGTCGCCTCTCCCCTGACAAACTCACTTCTGGGATCCTGCGAAATACTAGCGTTTCACCGCTTCTTCTTCTTTCTTTTTTTTAAAGTCTCGTTGCTCTTTTCCATGTGGCATTACAGTCTAGGCTTGCCAAGTCCCCCCAGGTTCCCCGCCGCCGCCGGATCGGGCCCCAGGGGGAACTCCACCCCGACGTGCACGTCACCAGGAAGTGACGCGACCACGCCAGGCACGCTGGGGGCGGGGCCGCCACAGTCATCCGAGTGAAAACTCTTATGTTTTCCCCTCGGATGGTCGTGGCCCCGCCCCCGGCGGCGTCCCGTCACTTCCTGGTGATGTGGATGCGGCGTCCACACGCTCCGGGATCAACCCGGGAGTCCCCCGCTCCGCAACGAGGACGGACTTGGCAACCCTATTACAGTTGCGAGCTCCCCGTCGCATCAAGGGAATCGGCGGAGAGCGCAAAACATCCCAATTAGATGAACGGCGTGGAGATTGCGTGACGGCTGCTTTGAAGGAAGCAGTCGGATCCTTTGAGTCGCGTATAGCATAATAACTTTGTCAGAGCGCGAAAAGCGGAACGAGGGTCTTGTTTTGGTGTGCAGGGAATTGAAGGGCTTTCAGCAGCAGACCTGTACGAAAATCCTTGCTCACAATGGGGTGCGAGGAAGCGGCTGGCGAGAGAAGGTCTAATAAGGACGGAACGGAATCGTCTTGGCCGCTAGCTATTTCGACAAGCTGTAAATTGAAGCGTGATGCAGAGCGGAGCGGAGCCAATTATCTTTTTTTCTTTAAAAAAAAAATCACCGTGGCGGGTGATCACTGATGGGCTAGATTATATCGAGCTCTCTCTTCCCAGAAACCAGGCTTCCCCATTCTCGCTCTGCATTCACAACAGTTTGCCGAAGGCATTGTTTACTCCAGAGCAGTGTTCCCTCTAGGCTGAGTTAGTGTGTGCTAGCTCACAGTTTTTTAGCTTCTGGCTCACACATTTTTGTCTCAGCTCAGGAAGGACGGCTCCAGAGCGAACTAATTTATGCAGTAGCCAAATGCCTCGCTCACAACTTTAATGCCAGTCGCTGACAAAGTAGAATTTTTGCTCCCAAGACTCCGCAGCTTAGGGGGAGTATTGCTCCAGAGATACTACGTGTGTTTGGGTTGTAGGGTTTGGGAGAAGTGTAGGTTTAGAAGGCCGATGTGTGTCACTGCAGGTTTTTGAGGAATGTTTTGTGTGCCTGTATTGAGCCAGTTTGGTGCCTGTATTGAGAGCCAGTTTGGTGCAGTGGTTAAGTGTGCGGACTCTAATCTGGGAGAACCGGGTTTGATTCCCCACTCCTCCACTTGCAGCTGCTGGATGACCTCAGGCAAGCCGTAGTTCTTTCAGAGCTGTTCTCTCAAGGACAATTCTCGAAAGAGCTATCTCAGCCCCACCTACCTAGCAGGGTGTCTGTTGTGGGGAAGGGAAGGGAAAGGAGTTTGTAAGCCGCTCTGAGACTCCTTTGGGGAGTGAAGGGCGGGGTATCAATCCAATCTCTTCTTCTTCTCAGGCCACGAACTTAGATGATTTTGATTGTAGGCCTACCCTTGAAGATGCTTCGGAAATTGCAGGGTAGTCTAGAATGCAGCTGCCAGCCTGTCGACCAGGTCTCCACGGTCAGCTCATATCACCCCCTATCTTGCAACGGCTGCGCTGGCTCCCAATTATTTTCTGGTGCCAATTCAAAGCCAGGGTGGAGGAAGTGGTTTAAGAGTGGTGGACTTTGATCTGAAGAGCCGGGTGTGACTCCCCTACTCCTCCTCCATGTGAAGCCTGCTGGGTGTCCTTGGGCCAGTCACGGTTCTCTCAGGACTCTCTCAGCCCCACCTGCCTCACAAGGTGCCTGTTGTGGGGAGAGGAGTAGTGGAGAGCCAGTGTGGGGTTAAGAGCGGCGGACTCTAATCTGGAGAACCAAGATTGATTCCTCATTCCTCCTCCCCATGAAGACTGCTGGGTGACCTTGGGCCAGTCACTGTTCTCTCAGGACTCTCTCAGCCCCACCTGCCTCACAAGGTGACTGTTGTGGGGAGAGGAAGGGAAGGCAATTTGTTGTGTCCGCTGGCCGCCACCAGATGCCAGCGCACACTTTGGAGCTTGAGGATGAAATAACAATGGGGACTAGGATCCTAGTCTCTCCACTGGGGGACCAATGGGACCGTGGCGGGAGATTCAAACCCGCCAATGGAACCTAGGGATGTGTCCCCAGGGATGTATATAGTTGGCCACCCGGCCGTTGTGTGGTGTCTTGTTGTGTACCAGTAAAGTATGCTGATCACTACATCAGTCTCCATGCTTACTTCATGCGTCTAACCCACTACACTTCACAATTGTAAGCCTCTTTGAGACACAGGAGGCCTGCTGGGTGACCTTGGGCCAGTCACGGTTCTCTCAGGACTCTCTCAGCCCCACCTGCCTCACAGGGTGCCTGTTTTGGGGAGAGGAAGGGAAGGCGATTGTAAGTCACTTTGAGACTCCTGAAGGTAGAGAAAAGCGGAGTATAAAAACCAACTCTTCTTCAGAGTGTTGGTTTTAACTTATAAAACCCTTAACGGCCTGCAGCCTTCATACCTGGAGGACCACCTCTCCCGATTAACTTTCCCCCGTGCAATCCTTTCCCCAATGCTTTTTAAAATTGATATTTTATAGATGTTTAACATCTATATGCGCCCCCTCACCCAGCTGGTGCAGCGTTTCAGTCTGGGTTGTCATCAGTATGCTGATGACACCCACCTATATCTGCTGATGGACAGACGGGCACCACCCCAGGTCTTTCACGTCACCTCATGCCCGGTCCTTTGAAACGGGAGATGCCGGGGATCGAACCTGGGAACTTCTGCATGTGAAGCAGAGGCTCTGCCACAGAGCCACAGCCACTCCTTGAACATACATGAGGCTAAAAATGAATGATTGCGTGTCATTGTGTGTAGAATAGACAGGGGATCCCTAAGGGTTGTCTGGCGGCCTGAAGCTGTAGCTGTCTCTTGGCACCACTAGGTGGCGAGCTGTGCTTATTTTTAGGCTGAGAGAAAGCTGTGATTTGCCCAAGGTCACCCAGCTGGCTCCAAGTGGAGGAGTGTGGAATCAAACCCAGTTCTCCAGATCAGAGTCTGCCGCTCTTAACCACGACACCAAGCACGAAGCTGCCTTATACTGAATGAGACCATTGGGACATCAAGGTCAGCATTGTAAGAACATAAGAGACGCCAATGTCGGATCAGGCCAAAGGCCCATCCAGCCCAACACTCTGTGTCACACAGTGGCCAGAAATACCAGGTGCCATCAGAAGGTCCACCAGTGGGGCTACTCGGACTGGCAGTGGTCTCAGGCAGAGGTCTTTCCCATCATCTTCTGCCTGGTCTATTGAACTGGAGATGCCAGGGATTGAACCTGGGACCTTCTGCATGCCAAGCAAATGCTTCATCACTGAGTCACAACCCTCCACATGAAGCTGCCTTATCCTGAATCAGACCGTTGGTCCATCAAGGTCAGTATTGTCTACTCAGACTGGCAGCAGCTCTCCAGGGTCTCAGGCTGAGGTCTTCCACATCACCTCCTGCCTGGTCCTTTTAACAGGAGATGCCGGGGATTGAACCTGGGACCTTCTGCATGCCAGGCAGAGGCTCTTCCACTGAGCCACAGTCTCTCTTTACAGCTCTCCAGGGTCTCAGGCTGAGGTCTTCCACATCACCTCCTGCCTGGTCCTTTTAACAGGAGATGCCGGGGATTGAACCTGGGACCTTCTGCATGCCAGGCAGAGGCTCTTCCACTGAGCCACAGTCTCTCTTTACAGCTCTCCAGGGTCTCAGGCTGAGGTCTTCCACATCACCTCCTGCCTGGTCCTTTTAACAGGAGATGCTGGGTATTGAACCTGGGACCTTCTGCATGCCAGGCAGAGGCTCTTCCACTGAGCCACAGTCTCTCTTTACAGCTCTCCAGGGTCTCAGGCTGAGGTCTTCCACATCACCTCCTGCCTGGTCCTTTTAACCGGAGATGCCGGGGAAGCCACAACTCCTCCCCATGGCATAAAAGCAGTGGTTGTATCTGCAGATTTACTCCTCCTGCTAGTCTTTGGTTTCCAACTCTTGTGCCTGGTGTGGTGCAGCGTCAAAGAGACTGCATTTTGAATCAGGAAATCCCTGGGCTGAATTTTACCTCTGCTATGATCTCGCGAATGCAAGCCTCCGTTCCTCCGTCTACAGCAAAGGAGAATGGTGACGTCTTCCCTTCCCTCTGTGCTGAAAAGGTTAAAGTCGAACAAGGGAGAGAAAGGCTGGATAGAAATGTTTGAATGCATCGTTTTGTTGTAACGTCTCTGAGAACCCCGCAGTGCGACGTAGCGTTGCTAACCGCAAGCCATCTTCAGACCAAGGTGAGGAATAAATTTAATAACGGTTGAAAACACGTCTGCATAATTACCTCCCCCCCCTTTTTTTTTGCTTAGGTGATGGAGGATCTTTTCAAGAAAGCGACAGACACGATACTGTCCAAGTGCTCTCACGATGCTGGACTCTTTCATAAGCATGTAGCCCCCGGACAAGAGGTACAAACAATTAACGTTCCCTACAACGTTCTGTAACAGGGATCCCAACTCCTCACTGACGTGCGTGTCACCCGGAAGTGACGTTATGACGCCGGGAACGCTGGGGGCGGGGCCTTATATGGTCGTGGCCCCGCCCCCAGCATACCCGGCGTCATAACGTCACTTCCTGGTGACGTATGTGCTGCGCGTGCGCTCCAGGATCCACCCGGGAGTCCCCCGCCGCCAAGGTAAGTCCCACTTGGCAACCCTATTCTGTAACCTGCCTGCTTTATAAATGTAGTAAAGGATAGATCAAGATCTAGTCCAACTTCCTGCACAATGCAGGAAACTCAAAAATACCTCCCCCCCCACACACACCCAGTGACCGGTGTCCCACGCCCAGAAAATGACAAAAGAACCTCCGGGATCCCCAGCCAAACTGGCCTGGAGAAAAATGGCTTCCTGACCCCGAAAGTGGCGATCAGCATTTCCCTGGGCATGTAAGAAAGGGCCAGGAGAACTAAGCCCTGAGGCAACCCTTCCTGCCCTCCCTCTCAGGGTCTGCCTAAGTTCACAGGATCAGCATGGCTGTCCGATGGCCATCGAGCCTCTGCTTGAAAACTTTCCAAGAAGGAGCGCCCACCACCTCCCGAGGAAGCCTGTCCCACTGAGGAATTGCTCTAACTCTCAGGAAGTTCTTCCTGATGTTTAGCCAAAAACTCTTCTGATTTAATTTCAACCCACTGGTTCTGTCCAACCTTCTGGGGCTGCAACCGTACAGAATGGTTTTACAAACTTGCTTGGATAACTGGTCAGGGACTGTGGTCTACCCCGCTGCGTATAGCTTACTGTAAGCAGGATCCTATTTGTGTAATTTCTGTACCGCTTAATGTGTCATGTGAATACTTATGCTAATCTTCACTTCTTTCTGGTGGTTCCAGACTTCTAAAATCCTAATGCACTGAATATTGGATGTCCCGTTTTGTCGACTGTACCGACTCACTATGCGTAACCTGCCTTGACTCCCTTTGAGAAAGGCAGAATATCGGTAACATAAATAAAAATAAAACAAGCAGGGCATATTCAGTGGTGCCGAACTGTGTGTCCAACCAAAGGGCCCAATCAAGGTCATCCCCGTGCAGAATTTGGGCTGCGTATCTGTGTGCATCTAGTTTGGCCTGGGTGAAACATAAAGCCCCGTGGAGTTCATGATCCTATTGCGAAACGCTTCTGGAGAATTAACATGTGAGCTGGTCTTTTTCTGAGTTCTTTCCGATTGCCAGTGTTGAATGACCTTTTTTTTCATTTTCTCTTCTTCCCACCCCTTAAGGGCAAGATAGAACAGATGTTGAAGAACCGATTTATAATGTAAGCAATTGTTTTCTTTCCCCCTGTTAAAAAATCATAGTGCAACAGAATATGTTCAGTGTTGTCATTCCGGTTGTTAAGAATTGTCCTGTAGGAATGCTGTTCTCACAAGAGCCAGTTTGGTGTAGCGGTTAAAAGCACGGACTCTTACCTGGGAGAACCGGGTTTGATTCCCCACTCCTCCACATGCAGCTGCTGGTGTGACCTTGGGTCAGTCACAAGTTCTCTCAGAGCTGTTCTCTCACGAGCAGTCCTCAAAACAGCTCTCGCAGCCCCACCTACATCCCAAGCAATACTCCCTCTAAGCTGTGGAGTCTTGTGAGCAAAAATTCTACTTTGTGAGCTACGGGCATTAAAGCTGTGAGCGAGTGATTTGGCTGCTGCGTAAATTAGTTTGCTCTGGAGCCATCCCTTCCTGAGCCGGAGGCTGAAAAACTGTCAGCTAGCTCACATTAACTCAGCTTAGAGGGAACAGTGCCCCACCATGCTTTGTTTCTTCTTCCCTACATCTACTGGAATCTAATGCCTACAGCAATTATTCAGCTGTGAGCCTTGTCAAGCATTTAACACCGAACAGTGACAAGGCAAGGTCTTGACATGGAATAGGGTTTGGAATAGGCCAAAAATGAGAGATCACGGGAGGAAGTGGAAATCCAAACACAACATCCTTGACAAAAATAACGAAAAGAGTTGATAAAGATACGTTTGCAAAATCATTTACTGTAGTAATTCTGTGGAAAATTCTATTATTGCTCACTCACAACGAATACCGCGCAATATAAACAAATCCATTTCACAAGAATTGCTTTATCTGAGCGTGTAGCAATCACAATTCTTATCAGTAGAAGGAAGAAAATACACATTCAATTATAAAGGGCCCTGGCCGCATGTGCCGGAAAATGCAGGGTGGGGGGGGAGACGTGGCTATTTGCGCCGTCGCATTCTGATCCGCCATTATGCAATCAGGCATGATGGTGGCGCACCGGGGTTTTGTCCTTCGCCGCATGCTACAAAGAGGATTGCCGGAGAGAATAGGCATGTGCCGGCGCGATCACACCGAACAAGTCCGTCTGCAGCCCGTGGCAAACCATTTGGTAGTGGAACTTTGCAGGACGGGGTCATTTGGGGGGGGACGCGGGGGGACGCCATCCCCCCGGGTGAGGTGTGGGAGGGCGGGGCCTGGAGCTCCCTGCTGGTGCCCGCTGGAGGTCGCCGCCGGCTGTGGGGAGGACACACTTCCGGTGATGTCAGGGGGTGTGGCATATGCTAATGAGTTATGCTAATGAGTCCCCCTAGCTCTTTTTCTACGAAATGACCCCTGTTGCAGGTACTTTTTAACTGCGCATCTTCAGTGGCACGCCAAAGGTGCGCTACACTTACCAGATGTTGCGGTGTGATCACACTCCGAAAATTCGCCCAGCATTCATGCCTTTCGCGTGGCAAAGTCTCCGTGTGACCGGGGCCAATGTAGCTTTAAAAATTCACAATGAACCATTACACTCAGAACTGTCACTTACATTTCTACTTATCAACTCTTGAAGGAAACATTCCATGTTGACTCTCTAATAACAGAACCCAAGGTCTTCACAATGTATTAGCTGGATTCTAGAAGCCAAACATAAAGTCTCCACTGCTAATTGCTACCAGCCACAGTCTGCCTGTGCAAACAGCATTTAAAGTACTAGTGTATTCATGTATGTTTCTTCCTGTTTGTAAAACCCAACTGTAAAATGCCATCTATATTATTACCTTCACATATTAGACCAACAGACTATATAAACATCAAAACCTTTTTTCTCCTAAAAGTAAATACTCAATGTCAAGCCTTAGCAGCCGTGGCTGGACATTATAAACATGCTGAAAGTGACAGGGTGTGATTTTCAAAAACCACTCTGTGGGCACAATACCAGACGTGAGGAGATTTACATTGTGTGCCAAAGTTCTAGTTTACAACTAACATAATACAGTTATGGTTACAGAAAAGAACTAAGATCAAGTTCCAAGTTTAGCCCATGAGGCAGCGGTGAATTCAAACGGTATATCCATCTAGCCTCTTCTTGCAGCAACACCTTCCTTGTGTTAACAGTACTATTAGCAGCAGATAAAACTAAATGACGGAAATCATCACGAGCAGGGGTCATTTCGTAGAAAAAGGGGCGCAGGAGCTCATTAGCATAACTTATCTGCATATGCCACACCCCCTGACATCACCGGAAGTGTGTCAGAAGGCAACACCCACCGCTCAGGCTCCACTGGACTGTTTTGGATTGCTAGCTATTGGGGGGGGGCAACGTGCAGATCTGTCCTCGCAGAGGAGGGAGAGCTTGCACCTGAATAAAACTTGGTCTTAAAGGTGCCACTGGACTGTTTTGGGCCTGGGTCCCCGGGGGGGGGGGCTCTGCAACTTACCTGGCTGCTTCTTGCTCTGACTGAGGGCTGCTGGGAGCAGGGGGTGGGGCTTGTTGCATGTGCCCGCCCCCTGGGCTCTTTACTGCCGGAGCTCCGCTCCTGTGCGCTCCTGCAGGAAATGACCCCTGATCATGAGCATGATTGTTCTGAACAAAATGCTCAGTTAAAGCAGCATCTAAATCATTATTCCTAATGCGGGGAATGTGTTCAAGCACCCGAACTTTGATAGGACGCTCGGTTTTTCCCACATACACCCGTGGACATGGACATAAAATGACATAAAAGTTGAGCATGTGGAAAACGCAGATAGTCTAATAGGTTTGTGTCCCGGAATCAAATTTTGCAGTGTCCACAGTGGTGGTGCCCAGGGGGAAGACCAGTGGAAGACCTGGATTTCCTCAAATCCGAGCGTACCACATAATCTTGGATGCTCTTTGTCCATGGCATAATTTATCAGGTTGCGAAATGAGAGCCCTGAAACAATTAGCGGGAGATGAAAACGGTTCATTATGAATTTTTCACATCTATAATTGAATGTGGAGAGCCAGTTTGGTGTCGTGGTTAAGTCCGCGGACTCTAATCTCGGAGAACCGGGTTTGATTCCCCCACTCCTCCACTTGCACCTGCTGGTGTGACCTTGGGTCAGTCACAAGCTCTGGCACAGCTGTCCTTGAAAAAGAGCCGTTTGTGTCGGAGTTCTCTCAGCCCCACCCACCTCCCAGGGTGTCTGTTGTGGGGAGGGGGAGGGAAAGGAGTTTGTAAGCCACTCTGAGACTCCAAGTGAAGGGCGGGGTATAAATCCAATCTCTTCTCTCTCCTCTTCTGTTTATTTTCTTCCTTCTATTGATAAGAATTGTGATTGCTACACACTCAGATAAAGCAATTCTTGTGAAACGGATTTGTTTATATTGCGCAGTATCCGTTTCATGTGAGCGATAATAGAAGAGAACTTTCTACAGAATGACAACAGTAAATGATTTTGCAGACATATCTCTGTTGACTCTTCGTCTGACTGATCTGCAGGCAACAGAGATCAGTTCACCTGAAGAAAAGGATCACTTGGGAAGGTGGCCTCTATGATGTTATATCCCCTGAAGTCTCTCCTCTCCCCAGTCTTCGTCCTCCTTGGGCTCCATCCCCAAAATCTCCAGATATTTCCCAACCCTAAGCAGGGATGGTAGGAACTTGTACTTCTAACACATTCTCCACCCAAGCCACACACGTACACGCTGGTACCATTTAGGGTTGCCAGGTGAGGCTGACAAGCCGGTGAGAGACTTTCCAGAAGCCCTCTGTGAGAGGGGAAGGAAGAAGAAGAAGAAGAAGAAGAAGAAGAAGAGATTAGTTTTATACGCCGCCCTTCACTCTCAGAGCATCTTACAATCTCCTTTCTCTTCACCTCCCCACAACAGACATCCTATGAGGTAGGTGGGGCTGAGAGAGCTCTTTCGAGGACTGCTCGTGAGAGAACAGCTCTGACAGAGCTTGTGACTGACCCAAGGTCACACCAGCAGCTGCATGTGGAGGAGCGGGGAATCAAACCCGGAAGCACGACTGAACTCCGAAGGGAGTTCTGGCTGTCGCATTTAAAGGGACTGCCTTTTAAATGCCTTTCCTCCATTGGAAATAATGGTGAATGGGGGCACCTTCTTTGGGGGCTCATAGAATCGGATCCCCTGGTCCAGTCTTTTTGAAGCTTGGGGTTTTTCTTGTTTTTTCCCTTTTTTGAGGAGAGGCATCAGATGCTATGCTGAAGATTTGGTGCCTCTACCTCAAAACACAGCCCCCCTCCAGAGCCCCAGTTACCAATGGATCTATTCTCCATTATACCCTATGGGGACCGGTCTCCATAGGGAATAATGGAGTGCCCAGCAGGCATTCCCCCCCCCTCGCTTGCTGATAACCCTGAAGTGGGGGGAGGGCCTCCAAACCAGGTGATCCCCTGCCCCCAACTGCGGATTGGCAGCCCTAGATGAGCAGCAGGGGGCAGGGGCCCAGCATAGGGGATCTCCCAACCAATGCTCCCTCTAAGCTGTGGAGTCCTGTGAGCAAAAATTCTACTTTGTGCACTGCTGGCATTCACGTTCTGAGCGAGCGATTTGGCTACTGCATAAATTAGTTAGCCCCAGAGCCATCCTTCCTGAGCTAAGACAAAAGAATGTGAGCCGGAGGCTAAAGACCTATGAGCTAGCTCACACTAACTCAGCTTAGAGGGAACACTTCCCCCAACCCCAGTGGGGGGGGCTGGCAGTCTAGGCCTGACTCTGTAAAAGGCAGCTTCAGATGTTCATTCAAGTAAAGGCCAGTTGCATTCGGCAAACATTTAAGCACGCTGGTCACTGTTCCGTCTGGTATGACTCACTATATGCTGGAACTTAGACCTCTTTTATGAGGTAAACTTCATGCCCTGTATTTTGATTGTGAGGTACAACAAAGTCCTATTTTCAGTCCTTTCTCGTAGACAATGTGTCTTGGGCTCAACACGTGCCAAATTCCAGGTTTCTGGGTGGTCTGGAAATAACCGTTTGGTTATTCACGTTGAGCTTCCCATTTTGAGAGACAGCTATGCAAACGTCTCCCCTCCTCAGATTTCAATAACCTATTCTACCAGTTTGGTGTAGTGGTTAAGTGCGCGGACTCTAATCTGGGAGAACCGGGTTTGATTCCCCACTCCTCCACTTGCTTCCTGCCACAGGAGGTGGTGGCGGCTACAAGCATGGACGGCTTCAAAAGGGAATTAGATAAGCATATGGAGCAGAGGTCCATCAGTGGATATTAGCCACAAGGTATAGATAGGGGCTCTGGGGCAAGTGATGCTCTGTCATCTTGGTGCTTGGGGGGGGGGGGTCAACAGTGGGAGGGCTTCTAATGTCCTGGCCCCACTGCTGGACCTCCTGATGGCACTGGCATTTCTGGCCCCTGTGTGACACAGAGTGTTGGACTGGATGGGCCTTTGGCCTGATCCAACATTGGCGTCTCTTATGTTCTTATGACCTTGGGCAAGCCGTAGTTCTGTCAGAGCTGTCCTTGAAAAAAGAGCCATTTCTGTCAGAGCTCTCTCAGCCCCACCTGCCTCACAGGGTGTCTGTTGTGGGGAGGGGAAGGGAAAAGAGTTTGTAAGCCCCTCTGAGACTCCTTCGGGTAGTGAAGGGCGGGGTATAAATCCAATCCAAGTTTGGTGTAGTGGTTAAGTGTGCGGACTCTAATCTGGGAGAACTGGGTTTGATTCCCCACTCCTCCACTTGCACCTGCTGGATGATCTTGGGCAAGCCATAGTTCTGGCACAGCTGTTCTTGAAAAAGACAGTTCCTGTCAGAGCTCTCTCAGCCCCACCTACCTTACAGGGTGTCTGTTGTGGGGAGGAGAAGGGAAAGGAGTTTGTAAGCCCCTCTGAGACTCCTTTGGGTAGTGAAGGGCAGAGTATAAATCCAATCTCTTCTTCTATTCAGTCAGCCGGCAAGGCCTCAGTGTTTTTGTATAATAACTTTTTATATGTAAATTGATGCACGGAATGCCTCTGTGAGGGATAACGCAGCCACTCTGAAGTGGTACATTTCAGAAAATTGGTTTTACTATGGAATGAGCCGTCTCTGTCTGGACTGGGCCTCCCAGAACTGTTGTCAGGAGAAAGGAGGGCCTACCTGGACATTGCATGCAAATGTAAGGAACAATCCCTGATGACGTTGGAAAAAATTAAGAGAAAACTCTCAGGGATGGAGCAATTTAAGTAGAGAAGATGGGGAGGGATAAAGCAGCCTGTCCCTCCCACCACTCAGTGCAAACCTATGCAGACTTACTCCAGTCTAAGTGCATTGAAATCAATGGGCTTGGATAGTAGCAGGGGTCATTTCATAGAAAAAAAGGTGCAGGAGCTCATTAGCATAACTCATTAGCATATGCCACACCCCCTGACATCACCAGAAGTGTGTCAGAAGGCAACACCCACTGCAACTTACCTGGCTGCTTCTTGCTCTGACTGAGGGCTGCTGGGAGCAGGGGGTGGGGCTTGTTGCATGTGCCCACCCCCTGGGCTCTTTACTGCCGGAGCTCCGCTCCTGTGTGCTCCTGCAGGAAATGACCCCTGGATAGTACGCACCATCGGCGTGCGCTGTATATCTCCTGTTACCTTTTCAGTTTTCTTAGAAAAGAGATGACTAAGGTGGGTGGGTGGGAGCATGATAGAGGTTTATTAAATGATGTGTGGGATGGAGACGGTTGCCAAAGAGAAATTTTTTCTCCCTCTCCCAAAAGACTAGAACTCGAGGGCCTTTCATGAAGCTGATGGGCAGTAGGTTCAGGACAGGCGAAAGAAAATACTGCTTTACACCGAGAGGGATTTAAAATGTGGAATTCGCTGCCAGAGGATGTTGTGATGGCCACAGGAATAAACAGCTTTCAAAGAGGATTAAATAGAGTCACGGAGGATAAGTCTATCAGGGGCTACTAGCCATGGTGACTGAGGGAAACCTCCACATTCATAGGCATTAAGCCTCTGAATCCCAGAGCCAGGAGGCAACCTTGGGGGAAGTCCTTGACCTCTATGCCCTGTTGTTGGCCCTCCAGAGGAACTGGTTGACCACTCTGTGAGTTAGGATGCTGGACTAAATGGACCACTGGTCTGATATAGAGAAGAGAAGAAGAGATTGGATTTATACCCCGCCCTCCACTACCCAAAGGTGTCTCAGAGTGGCTTACAAACTCTTTTCCCTTCCCCTCCCCACAACAGACACCCTGTGAGGCGGTGGGGCTGAGAGAGCTCTTGACAGAAACTGCTCTTTTTTCAAGAACAGCTCTTATCAGAACTATGGCTTGCCCAAGGTCATCCAGCCAGGTGCAAGTGGAGGAGCGGGGAATCAAACCCGGCCCTCCCAGATTAGCACCCGCACTCAACCACTACACCAAACTGGCTCTTCTTATGTTCTTATGTTTTAAGTCACAAGAAGCTGTGTTAGCCTTGTGGTGTAAATGTGTCTTCGTTTCCCAGGTGTGAACACCACTCCAAGGCAGTTCCTTAGATTCAAGCACACAAAGGTTTTCCAAATGGCAGCGAGATCAAACCCTTCCACGAAGATCTTAACACTCAGATATATGTCTGTAGCAAAGGAGGCCAAACTCTTTAACTGCTTTCCCCCCCCCCTCTTCTAGAATGTCATACTCTGAAGCCATAGAGATCTTAAATCGGGCACCCTGTGTTTTCACTTACAAACCAGAGGTGAGTACTCTGCATTTGGTAAGTACAGGTGTCTCCCACAGACTTCCCTGCAGAACTCCTGCGAGATGAATTGGTTATTCTAGTCCACTTCAAGCTGTTGTGAGAACTGTTGAGGTCAGCAAAATCTCAGCATGTCAAGATAGCTAGGCTTTCTTGTGGGTTAACAGGAGACTTGCGCACACATGAGCCAACTTAAGTTTTAAAAGAAAGTATTTATTTAAGACAGCGATCAAAAGAGAGAAACACAAAATCCAGCAAACAAACACTTCAGAGAGTACAACAAAATAAAAAAAATACTGACTCAAACTACCTGTGTTCTACAGCGCAGTTTCAGGAAGCATAGGCCATAAGTCACAACAAGGAATGTGGCTTCATGTCGAGGTCTGCAAATACAAACCGCATACAGGAGTTCCCCGAATACCCTAGGCTAAATTTCCCCCCAGCTAAGGTGGCAAGATATACTCTTTTTCCCTTTCAAATACCCTGTTTCTCCGAAAATAAGACCTACCCAAAAAATAAGCCCTAGCAGGATTTCTATGCATTTGTGGTATAAACCCTAGTGTGTCTTCTTGAGAAAAAATAAATATAAGACAGTGTCTTATTTTCGGGGAAACACGGTATCAGCTGCCCCCACTTTGCGGTCAAAACAGTTTTTCCAAATAGAGTTAATTGGTAGGTCTGCCTGTCCTTAGAATCAGCACCTTAACAATAACAAACTTGAAACAGCTGCATTAGGAAGAGGGCTAACATACTGTTATATCACTTAACCCTTCATAGGCACTTTTGCTTCACACAGCATAAAAAGCGCAAGTAATATTTGAGGCCCAGTTCCCACTTTTGTCTTTAGGGCTGAGTCCCACATGGTGACTGAAGGGGTGGATGAGAGCCACCGTGCCCCCCCCCCTTGCAAAGATTCCCTCACACAACCCAGACCAGTGTTCCCTCTAAGCTGAGTCAGTGTGAACTAGCTCACAGTTCTTCGAGCCTCCGGATCACACGTTTTCATCTTAGCTCAGGAAGGATGGCTCCAAAGCACACTAACTGATGCAGTGGCCAAATCGCTCGCTCACAGCTTTGATGCTAGTGGCTCACAAAAGTAGGATTTTTGCTCACAAGACTCCACAGCTTAGAGGGAGCGTTGACCCAGATCCAACCGAAATGTCGTATTAAAAACAAATCACATAAACAGGGGCTGCGGCTCAGTGGCAGAGCCTCCGCTTTGTATGCAGAAAGGTCCCAGGTTCAATCCCCGGCATCTCCGGTTGAAGGATCTTGCAGCAGGAGCTGCTCCCAGTCTGAGGAGCAGGGCTATTTTGGGGCACGAACGCACAGGAACGGAGTTCCAGCTGGCTCCTGAGTTGGCCACGCCCAGCAGGAACGCATTAGCATAATAGGCCACACCCAACAGCAGGAACTCATTAGGATTGGCTACAGTAGGCGTGTGTGGCCTAACATGCAAAGGAGTCCCTGCTACAAAAAAAGGCCCTGGGTTTTGACAACGAACAAGGTAAACAGAATAAGACGGGAAAGGTGGGTGTGGCTGGATGACCACACTTTTGGCAACACGGGGTTGTGGCCTAATATGCTAATGAGCTGTGGTGTCAGGGTGTGGCCTAATGTGCGAATGAGTTTCTGCTGTTGGGTGTGGCCTATTATGCTAATGAGTTCCTGCTGGGCTTTTTCTACAGAAAAAGCGCTGCTGAGGAGACAGTACCGACTGTGATGGACGGAGGGCCTGATTCAGTATAAGCAGTGTCTTGCATTCAGATTGAACTGAACCTGGCTCCATGGGCGCCCAAGGGGACCGGGTCCCCCAGAATTTTGTCCTCCTAACCCCCTCTCTTTCATGTCCCTCGGTGCCAGCCCCAAGCGATCGCCTCAGGAGAATTCAGGGCCTTCCGGTTGCCAAGTCCCCCCCCCCCGGCCACTGTTTGGGTCTGCGGGGGCAGGATTGCCTGATCCAGGTTGGGAAACACAAGAGCCAGTTCGGTGTCGTGGTTAAGTGGGCGGACTCTAATCTGGGAGAACCGGGTTTGATTCCCCACTCCTCCACCTGCAGCTGCTGGATGACCTTGGGCCAGCCATAGTTCAGTCAGAGCTGTTCTCTCAAGGACAGTTCCGGAAAGAGCTGTCTCAGCCCCGCCTACCTCACAGGGTGTCTGTGGTGGGGAGGGGAAGGAGATGGTAAGCCGCTCTGAGACTCCCGAGTGAAGGGTGAGGTATAAATCCAATCTCTTCTTCTTCTTGTTTTACCTCACAGGGTGTCTGTTGTGGGGAGGGGAAGGAGATTGTAAGCCACTGGTGTGAACTTGGGTCGGTCACAAGTTCTCTCAAAGCAGTGCCCCACCTACCTCACAGGGTGTCTGTTGTGGGGAGGGGGAAGGGGAATGAGATGGTAAGCCGCTCTGAGACTCCGAGTGAAGGGCGAGGTATGAATCCAATCTCCTCCTCTCCGCGTCGGAGATATGGGTATGGAGCCTGGGGAGGACGGGGGCCTCAGTGGTGTTCAAAGCCATGGAGCAGGGGTGACAAACATAAGGCCCGGGAGCCGGAACTGGCCTGTCCAGAGCTCTTATGTGGCCTGCGAAGAGATAATGCAAGGGAGGGAACGGGAGACTGCTGGGGGGGGGGAGTGGGCGGAGCCAGTCCGATTGTGGCTTCAGCATGGCGGAACAACCCTGTCTGCAGCAGTCAAGCAGCGTGGGAGCGTCTGCCCAGGGCTGCACTGCTGGCTCTCCAGTCCACCCATGTGGGTTATCCTCTGCACACACACACCCCAGCCCATGAGGCCTCGCAGTGAGGATACACCGGCTCGGAGCTTACCAACTGCTGTCCTTTATACAGTTTCTGTCTCCGGTACCTGGCATTGCGTTTATGGCATACGTGGCCCAGCCCGACAAAGTGACATTTATACCCGATCCGGCCCTTGTAACAAATGAGTTCGACACGTCTGCCACGGAGTCCACCCTCCAAGGCACTCGTTTTCTCCAGGGGGGACTGATCTCTGTCGTCTGGAGATGAGCTTTAATTCCAGGGAATCCCCAGGTCCCGCCTGGAGGCTGGCATCCCTAAAAGGCCCCATTGAGCTCCTGGCCAAGCCATGGGTGTTCTCTTTGTGTGAACCGGCCCTTCCCATGTCGATAGCGTGTCTGTGTCAACTGAAATGTCCGTGGCAGCAATAGTTCTTAGCTGGATTTGGAACCTTCTTTTAAAGTCTGGATTCTTTTAGGCTGGAATTCTTTTCTTTTCTTTTTCAATCCGCACGGTCTTGTTTTGCAGTGGGGCCAGGATCTCCAGCGCGAACACGAGAAATACTTGGTCGAGCACTGCGGCGGGATCCCCGTGTTTGTATTGAACTATCCGTATGACCTGAAACCGTTCTATATGCGGGACAATGAAGACGGACCCCATCGTACGGTAGGAGTAAAATTTCCCACTGCTCTTTCTGCTTTGCTGTAACCTTTGGAATGGAACAGGCCTGATCCTGCCTAGGTCCACCTGATATAGCTCGTCTGTGGCTGCGTGGAAATAAGATCTCGGAGATCTGGGTTCGAGTCCCCACACACTGTAGGCTTGCCAACCTCCAGGTGGGGCCCAAAGATCTCCCTGAATCACGTTGGATTTCCAGAGTACAGAGATCAGTTGCCCTGGAGGAAATGGCCGCTCGGGTGGGGTCCCTCCCCAAATGCTACCCTTCCAAAGCTCCACACACACACACACATCTCTAGGAATTTCCCAAGCTGGAGTTGGTAACATTACCACCAGGGGTCATTTTGTAGAAAAAGAGGTGCAGGAGCTCATTAGCATAACTCATTAGCATAACTCATTTCCATATGCCACACTCCCTGACATCACCGGAAGTGTCAGAAGGCAACACCCACCGCTCAGGCTCCACTGGACTGTTTTGGATTGCTAGCTATTGGGGGGGGGGGAACGCACAGATCTGTCCTCACAGAGAAGGGAGAGCTTGTACCTGAAGGCGGAAGGGGGGGGTTCTGCAACTTACCTGGCTGCTTCTTGCTCCTCGTGGCCCAACTGAAGGCTGCTGGGAGCAGGGGGCGGGGCTT